TAGCTGTATCACGTAGACCTAGCAGGTCTTTGGATGTGATCCTTGTCCGAGCAGCCATGTTGCAGGATTAAAATTCCTCGACAGTGAGTTCCTTCTTCAGCTGTTTAGTATTTCCCTACTGGTGCCAGGCTAGCCCTTTCCATATTGCAGTGACCCAGGATCTTCACAGTGATTTTTGCTAGGCAAACATTACTCCTCCACCTACTGGGGCAACAGATAGTTTATGTTCGGTGACTCTTAGGAGACTTAAACAAGGAGGAAGCAGTTTGGGTTGTTTGCCCTGAAGGTATTTTTCAGTTGTTGGAGAGCGGACTAATTACTACCGGAATGCTTTGCTGCATTCCCACAAGTCCCTCAGGAGTGTCTAAGTTCACGCAAGCACTTTAAGGAATGTCTTCATCCCTTGTCTCACGGGCAGTCACCCACTTCACTATCCTTCCTGCAGCAGAACCTGCATGTAATTGAGCAAGCATTTGGCAGGGATGGTGAGTGCTGGCCTCGTAGCAGAGTGCTGTAATCCACTTGCAGATGGGAAAATGGCAAAATCACTAGATTATTTACACATGTTGGAGTGTCACACAGCATTAAAAGTGGATAAAGTACCTCTCTGCATGGCGGCATGGTTGTGATTGATTGTTACCGACGAAGCATGACTCGGAACGTTTTAGAAAAATCTTAGAAAGATTTTAAAAAGGAGCTTTATGATAAATCTGTTTTTGAGACAGGGTCACATTCCGTAATCTATGTTTCCTTAGAACTCATTATATGGCGCAGATTAGTCTTGAAGTTGTGGTAATTCTCCTCTCTCAGCTTCCGAAGTGTTAGGATTACAGACGTGAGGCATCATATCAAGCTAGGAACTCATTTATTAAAAGGAGGAGGAGGTGGAGGAGGAGGAAAAGGAAAACATAACAAGAGCACGAAAGAGTTACAGCAGATTCTTGGCTGTGGTCCCCTCTGGATAGAGCTCAAGGAAGGTGGAGGGTGACAGCTTTCATATATTAATAGTTTAACTTGAAAGAAATGTCCTGAGTTCTTTTGAAAAATATTCAATGCTGATTTTGAAAGTTTTAAATAAACTGATAACTGCTGGGGCAGAATTATAGCCACCATCTAAGAGAGGATATATGAAACCCAGGCTTGGGAGAAGGGGCCTTGGAGGAGCCAGCAGCCTCGTGGAACTCTGGCCTCATCTGAACAAAGATACTTGGGGACTTTAAAATAGGCTTTCCAGGTGTACATCTGAACAGACTGACTTCTGTATCACTCACAGTTCTCTTTCTTCCTGTGCCTTCACTGTGCTCAGCCACAGCTCCCAAGGACGTCACTGTGCTCAGCCACAGCTCCCAAGGACATCTCACATCTCACTTTTAATGGTACCACTGTGGCTACCTTAGAGCACTGTTGGACCATTGAGAAAACCCCTTGGTGACTTTGGCTACTGGCTGCTGCTCCCCACAACTTCCTGTACCCTCTGTTCACTCTGCTGAATTCTCTTTCCCCCAACAGAATTATCACTGTTCTGTGCTCACTGTCCCAGATGCTCACAATAGTCTTATTGCTTTAGGGATGTAATACTCAATTTAAAGTGGGCAGAGAGGCCTTGCTTACTTCTCCCACCTGCCTGACACAAGAGGCCTAATTTACGCTGCCCTCAAATGTAAAGTTGACTTCTTTACAAATGCATTTTCTTACCCATGGGATAGAGGATGTGGGTACAGAGAGGAAGGTCAGGATGTGGAGTTAGTATAGCTTATTGCAACATTCTTACCACCTCACCTTCCTCTTTTGGGAACTGATGTCGGTAATTATTATTTTGAAGTAACCTCTTAAAAATCAACATGTTTTATGGAATATACATTTTTTAAGTGTCTTTCAGTGTTTCCTTTCATCTTTGTATGTTTCAGACGGGCAGGTCTGGGAATTCGTGTAGGGGATTTGCGGATCCAGCACTGACTTATGTACGTGTCTGCTTTCAACCTGTAAAAACTGTCTTTGTAGAATAGACGATGTTCTAACAACAACGCTTTGACTAAAGAGCCTTTGGTTGTTTTGGCTAAATCTAATATTAGAATGATGTGTAAATAGAACAGGCATAAAAGTGAGGGGTCTCACAGCCACTCATTCTAAGATCACCACACAGTCTTTCCCCCACACCCTCATGTACCGTGAATTTATATCTGTGTTATCTTCTAGTGTTGAATAGTAATAAACAACCTTCATTAAATCATAGGAGTTGCTTCCCCTGAATTTTCAAAGTGTGCTTAAAGGTTATCAGTAGAAATAAAGTAATAAACTATCGTGTGGCTCCCTCTGCTGGTGGATGTGTACATGACAAACCAAGCTGGTTCAGCTGGGAAAAGATTGTAGTTCTGAGTGTTGCCAGGTAAAAGTAAAAAAGTGAAGTATTTTGTAAATCTATCACTAGGATACAATTACCTCCAAAGAAAAAATTAATTGACGTTAAGTTTCCACGTTAAAATATCAGTAATGTTGTTTCTCTTGCTAAGAAGGCTTGAGACCACAGCATAAAACAGAAACAGCACATTCTCTGGGGTTCTGTAGTGTTGGCCCATCCCAACAGTGTGTGTCTCAAACTCTACTTTAACCAATGGTCTGAATACTTCTCAGATTATTCCAGGAGTTTTTCCAAAACTAGACTTTTTACTTAGAAACGTGATGTTAGCATCTTCAGACTTCAGTTCTTTTTCTTTCCTAGTGTCTCATCAGAAGGTTATATAGTTAAAACTGCAGAATTTGGGGGTCAATAGCTTTACTCCCCTGGTCTCTGGGTCTCCGGCTTTTTTCCCCTCTTAGGCACCATCCTAAAGCATCCTCTGTCCTTTGCTCTTGCTAAACATGTTGGAACATGTCTTGGTTTATTTTTAAGTTAACAGAACTCTATACAAATTGTATATAACATGTCATTTTGAGCTATGTTTGCACTGTAGAGTGCCTCCACGGAACTGATTGATATGTGTGTCCTGTCTACTAGTGCTAACAGGCCACGCGTCCTCCTGTCACAGTTTCCAAGGATCCAGGACGACAGGCCATTGCTGTCTATGGTCAATAATGTAATTACAGTTTCCTGTGTAGTTGATTCTATTTTACACAGTGAAAAAGCCCACAAGCATTTGGTGAGCACTCTCATTTTCCCCCAGTAACTTCATGCAGCAGTATTAGCTGTTCTTATCCATGTTTCATAGAGTCTAGCAAAGGTGAGCTCACCTGAGAACTAGTGAACAAGGCTCCAGGTAGGCTCACACCTGAGCCAGAAGTTTTGAGACCCCATCCATGTGAGTGGTACCCTTTAGCAGCATCCTCTGAGGGCTGGTGACCTTTGCTCACTTTCCTGTCCTGGAGCTGAGGACTTTTAGATAACTACTGGGCCGCCTCAGTCTAGACACATGTGTTTTCTTCCATGAATGGCATAGGAGGACCGCCACTCTTGTGCTTAATGTTGAGAATTTGAGCAATTATATTTATCATAAAAATGGAATTAATGAGAAAAATGCATTGTAGATCACTGGTTTCCTCAGTGAGTCTCAGCCAAAGATGATTTTAGGTACAAATAATTGAAAGAGGAGTAAAATTACCAGGTGCAGATGTTAAAACTGTTAGCAGAAAGCACTTGGGCTTAGGCACTGAAGGTCTTCATGAAGAGTTTTTGAAATGCATAATCAAGAGTAATTTAGAGCAGAAAAATTCCTGAACACACTTGAAGTATAATGAAGCAATTTCTTTAAAATTGGCGATTATAAAGAATTGCTAGCCTTGAGCCAGTTTGCATGTACTGTGTTTTTTAATCTTTACAGTAGTCTGAAGATCATTAGCTATTATTTGACGCCCTATCTAGAGGAAGAAACCAAACCTAGTGAATTTAGGTGGTTGCTTAAAGTTACCTGGCTAATGAATGGGAAACCTGGATTTGCGCTCCTGTGACCAGGCTCAAGGTCTGGCAATCTAAACCATTTTGTTGCTCAGCGAAGCCTGCTGTGATGTGGAAACATCTGATATCTGTGTGGTCCAAAATGCAACAGAAACTGTGATGACTGAGTGCTCAAAATTTGGCTAGAATAGCATGGAAATGAAATTTATGATTTTTTAAAAAAACACATTTTAACTTCGGTGTTGGTTGTTAGTTTAGGAAGGGAGGGGTGGAAATAGAGGGACATGGAGAGACAGGAGCCCCACGGGGAGACCATCAAAACTAAAAGATCTGAGCCCAGAGGATCCTGCAGGAACTGATGCACCAATGTAGGACGATGTATGTAGAGGACCTCGACCCCCTGCTCAGATTGGCAACCCAGTCTCCATGTGGCTCTCCTAGTGAAGGGAGCAGGGGCTGCCTCTATCATGAACTCAGTTGTCTGCTCTTTGATCACTTGCCCCTGGCGATGCAGCCTTGCCAGGCCGCTGAGGAAGAGGATCCAGGCAGTCCTGATGAGACTTAACAAGCTATGGGCAGATGGCAATGGAGGAGAACTCCCCCTTTCAGTGGACTAGAGGAAGGGAGATAGGGGGAAGAAAAAGGGAGGGTAGGACTGGGGGGAGTTGAGGGAGGGGGCTTCAATTGGGATATAGAATGAATACATTGTGAAGAAAAAATTAAAATTAAAAAATAACTTTAAAAGCTCCATGTATCTAGTGGGTTACATGCTGGGGAACACACACTTATGTGATCTTTAAGATTCTTCAGTATAAGGTACTGGGTATTTGGGGTTAATGTATTTAACTCCCTGATTCATTGGAAGAGCACTGCCACTCATGTGTATTAATAAGCTGATTTAAGTCATAAAATTAAAAGAAAAAGAGCACAGGTATAATCCGGGCATTTAAGCCTCTCAGTCATGACTCTTTCCATTTTACACTTTTTGAATCTATAAATTTATGTTTTTCACCGTTGTTATTATGGAATGGGGAAAGTGTTGCTTTTGAGAAAAGTGTTAAGCCTTGGTAAGTTCACGCTCAATGGACGTTCTCCTCTTTTTTTACTTCAGGTTATAGAAACACTGTCTCGGTTATCCCGCACACCAATTGCTTTGGCCACAGGAATCAGGTGAGTCCATGCCGCTGTGCTTCCCGTCTCCCGTGTCATTCATTTCAATGCTATTTCTTGAATGGTTCTTGTCTGCAAGGCTCTTCACGTTTGGTACGCCAGTGCTACACGCACATTTGAGCTTCACTGAGCAATTAAGAACTTAGTGATAGAATCGAATAAGACTCAATAGCTGAACATTGTTCTCAGTTTGCTGCCGCTGGTCATGGCCCCTTTAAAAAATTCTTCAGCTTTTCCTATATAATTCATTAGAACAAATGTGAATGTTTTAATACACAAATATTTAAAAATAAAATCTATGTCGTTTCTGTAGAAGAGACCATTCCAGTAACTCATGACATCAATGAATTTAAGGGACAATCAGAGAAGCGCTAAATGATGGGCTTACAAGGGTGTGTGTTGAAGACTGGGCGAGGCATGAAAAGCTCGGAAGTAGACAGTTTATCTATGCCATCTCCGTGCAGTGGAGTATAATACAGGTGGTAAGCGTGGAAGTAGAGAGGTGTTTGCTGTTCAAGCTTTTGCTGTCTGAGATTATGTCTTCTTACCTAAATTGTAGCAGTCAGCAAAGAATATAAGATACAGGAAATGAAGATATAGCCCGGTCGCCTGGAAGCAGAAATGTTATTTTTTTTTTTCAAGGCTTTGTGTGTAGTCTCCAGCCATGAAAGGGCTTTGTATGCCTCTATCTCTGCCTTTTTGGCTTCATTTTTCTTTGCTAAGCTCATATCATATTCTGAGAAAGGGGATCCAAGAGTGTTTCAAAGGAGAACTCATCAGTGGCTCTGCAGCTTAGCTCCTGGATGCAACCACAATGGTCTCAGGGAGGGCCTCCTGAAGACCATTTCCCAGAAATGGGCCATGGTTTTATCTGCTTTCTATAGAAGTAGCTTCTAAGCTGATTGATTCTTCAGTTCCTTCTAATTTGCTCCCCAACAATGAGTAGCTGTCCATGCCTGTATGTATTTTTGCATCATTATATGTAAGGAGTAGATTTTGAAACAGTCATGCCCTACGTTGTATATAGTTTTGATTAAGGATACCCGTTAGAAGTCTTTTTCCTTTTGAGATTTTTACCATCTCTATTTCCTGTAGTGTGCTATCAGTTTCTATAGTGCACCTGTGTAGATATGAAAGTCTGATAAAATATGCCTATATTAAAAAAGAACAACCCTGAAAGCTTGTTACAAATATTTACTTATTTGAAAAAAAATATAGGTCCCTTTGCTATCTTAAGAATTAAATTAATTCATAATTTAAAGTTAAATTGTTTTAAATAATAAAAATATAACAAAAGTATGACTTTCAGTGAAACTCTTTAGTCACTATTTAAAATTTAATATTATTATTATTATTTATTATTATTAGTTACATTTTATTAACTCTGTATCCCAGCTGTATCCTTCTCCCTCATTCCCTCCCAATCCCACCCTACCTCCCTCAGCTCCTCCCTGCCCCTTTCCAAGTCCACTGATAGGGGAGGATCTTCTCCCCTTTCATCTGACCCTGTTTTATCAGGTATCTTCAGGACCGGGGCTGCAAAGTCCTCCTCTGTGGCCTAGCAGGGCTGCTCCTCCCTTGGGGGGTGGGGAGGTCAAAGAGCCCGCCATTGAGTTCATGTCAAAAATAGTCTCTGTTTCCCTTACTAGGGAAACCCACTTGGATAATGAGCTACCTCGGGCTATATCTGAGCAGAGGTTCCAGGTTGTATCCATACATGGTCCTTGGTTGGAGAAACAGTCTCATATAAGACCCCTGTGCCCAGATATATTTGGTCCTTGTGGAGCTCCTGTCCTCTACAGGTCATATTAACTCCCCCTTCTTTCATATGATTCCCTGCACTCTACTGAAGGTTTGGTTATGAGTCTCAGTATCTGCTTTGATACACTGCTAGGTAGAGTGAGGTATCCCAGAAGGATATCCAGTTCTTCCCCTGTTTAACACTGACCATCTGCTCGCATCAGGGACTCCTCGCCAGCCTTTCTTAGGCATCTCTTCAGAAGGAGAAATACACATATGGTATATACTCACTTATTTAGACTTATAAGATATGATAAACATAATGAAATCTATACACCTAAAGAAGATAAACAAGAAAGAAGACCTAGGGTAAGATGATCAATCCTCACTTAGAAAGACAAATGGGATGGACATTGGATGTAGGAGCAAACAAGTAACAGGACAGTAGCCTACCACAGACAGCCTCTGAAAGACTCTACCTAGCAGTGTATCAAAGCAGATACTGAGACTCATAACCAAAACTTATTATTTTGATAGATCCTTGTTATAAACATGAAATATGCTTACTATAAAAAAGTAGAGCATTTTTTATTATAATATAGTTACTATGGTAATTTTATTAGGCATACTTTTAAAGCATTATTTTGGTCATAACAACACAGGTTTGGAGCCAAACAAAGGTGCCAAATGATAGGAGTGGGGAAAATATAATTTTATTTTTAAACAGGGGACAAAAAACAACTCCCAGTCTATTTAAAGTGTATTGTGTTCATTTCTCCAACACTGGAAAAAAAAAATACTTAAATACTCTGATGTCTGAATAGGAAAATCTGCTGCGGGGTCAAAATCACATGTATGATGTCTTTGTTTTCTAATAATCTTCATCCTTACACATGAGCAGACACACACACACACACACACACACACACACACACACACACACACATGCACACACACACACACAAAACACAGCTTACCACCATAGTCTTTGTTGGATCAGTTCTTTCAGTTGGAGTGAGGGTGGGCCCTGAAGGCAAGGGCATGGGTAAGGCTGCTTGGGCCCTGAACGAGGCTCTGCGGGGGACAAGGGGTGCCATGGGGTGACTCTTCAGGTATGTGTCAGCTGGGAGATCAGACAGTCACTTTAACATGTCCCCAGCTGCACAAGCGTGTGCAGGGACTCACTGTAATGCTGGCGATGATTTGGGGTGGCAGCTGTTGCAGTCCCCCCAGGGGAACCCCAGGCACATCTGCTGGGCAACTGCTTTTGGGGAAACCCTAGAAATCATTAAATACAACGACTTGTCTGAGTGGCAGCCAATCTGGCTATTTAATTAGAGGTAAATGCTCACTCCGGATTGCTTACTCTTCCATGTATTTCCTCCCTAGGCCCTTCCCTACCGAAGAAAGTATAAATGATGAAGACGTCTACAAAGGCCTTCCCGACTTAATAGAGTATGTTAAACATTTTCGGTAAAATTAAGCCACTGCACAAATTTGCTCTTAGCATAGATGTGAACTATGAGAAGCTCTCTGCGGGGTAAAGGTGATGTGATGATTACGACATCATAAGAATTATCTTTAAAGTGACGGTGGGACATTTCACAGAAAACATGCTCCAACTGGCTTCTGGTCTTGTTTTGTGTGCCTATGAAGAGAAGTAAAAAAAAAAAAAAAAAAAAAAAAAAAAAAAAAAAAAAAAAAAAAAACTTGAAGTTTCTCAAAGTCAGAATAGAGAGGTAGATAAAACTGGAATTATGCAAGTAGGGAATAATAAAAAGGGAAATAAAGTTTACTCCTGAAGTGGAGAGGCAGGACAGAAAGTGTGTGCATCTGTCAGCACCAGGAAGGATGCATGCAACTGGAGTTATTCAGGGAAATGTCAGTAGATGGAGCTTATCCCAAGCAGAGGATCCTCTGTGCTTTATTATTTAATAGTCAGAAGGGGCAGAAAGTCTTGCTGCTGATTATCTTCTGCTGATTGAGTGGCTTGTGCAGATTATGAATAAATATAAAGCATGATCCCTCTCTCTTCGAGGACTTTATGATATAGATCAGGTATGTTTGCACAGAATTATAAGAAATGGATTATGCTCCAAGGGCCATTCTTGGAATCAGTGGGAATCCAGTTCTTCCCCTGTTTAACACTGACCGTCTGCTCGCATCAGGGACTCCTCAGCAGTCTTTCTTAGGCATCTCTTCACAGAGAGACCTTTCCTGGTGAAAATACTCACCATACCCTTACCCTGCTCTGTGTCTTTAGAGCGTTTATTTCTGGCTAAGACGATGTTGGCTTGCTGCATTTACCGTCTGTGTCTTCATCCCAAGGCGGTGACGCCAGGAGCTCTGTGCATTTCCGTATTCTAAGAACCTTAAACTACGATGAGCTGGAGAGACGGCTCAGTGGTTAAAGCAGCTGTGCCAGCAAAGGGATCTGACTTTGGATTCTCAGGACCCTTGTGAGGTAGTGGGAAGGCGCAGTAGCTTACCTGTGATTTTATCTTGAGACAGCAGAGACAGGGGGGTTCCTCTAGGCAAGCTGGAGAACGACACCAGCCATATGAGTGAGCTCTAGATTTGATTGAGAGGCCCTCCCTCCATGGATAAGGTGTTGGAGCAATCAAGGGAGATTCAGACATCAACTTCATCCTTCTACATACACTCGAGTATACTCACCTGTACACACCTGCCACGTACCTACCCCCTTGCACATGGGTGTGCAACTATTCCACATACACCTATACATGAAAAAGGAGAAAAAAAAAAAAGAAGCGGTTAAGCCATGTCTGGTGCGTGACGTGAATGCCAGAAGAACGTTAGACACCTACTGTTTGCCAGGCCTTATGCGTTAGAGTTGAGCTATCTAATCATTTATAATAAGAGTGTGTTCTGTGCTCATGTGTGTGCCGACATGTTCTGTGCATTACCTCATGTAACTACTGTGTTAAATTCCCATTGTTGTAATCTGATGAAAAAAAACAAAAACATTTGTATACCAAACTAACTTGTTAGAGATGATATCAGTATCACGCACTGTAGTCTTTGAACTCAGATGTTTCAGACCCTGAAACCAGAGGCTCCTAATCACTGTCCTGGGAGCAGGTGTGTGGTGACGTGCTGTTCTGGAGCTCTTAATAGAAGAGCAGGTGAGGCGAGTCCTGTAGAAGCCATAACTGGGCTGTCAGCAGCTCTTCTATTTTAAGCGGCATTTGGAGTAACGAGTAACCTTGAAGTCATATACTTTAAATGTCCTTTGGGGATAGTTTCTTGCTGCTTCTAAACTTCTAAGAATGCGCCGCCATTAAGTAAGATAGATGCTGATTATCCGATTAATGTGAAACCAGTCTTTTATAAAGTGACTGTAAGGCTACTGGCCATGGTCAGTAATCAGGAAGGATATATTATGTCTAGAGCTGTGGTGACGTTCCTTTCAGAGCCCCACATGGTCATTGGACCCCATTGATGGTCACTAATTCCTACTACTTTTTAAAGTAGCCTTTGCCCACCTTGTTCTGCCAAGCACTACTGTTAGATTTCGTTTGGAGGGAATGTGAGGTGTCAGGTAAGAGGAGGCCTTCAATTCAAAGTGACAGGGTGGGTGTTACAGTCCATGTGGCTTTTGGCCAGCCCCTTCCTCAGTTCAGTTATCTTAGTTAACTCTGTCATGATCTCAGATAATTTCCCTGCATTTTGATGAATTTACACAAAATGCCCAGACACAGGACCACCAGGACTGTAAAGCGAGACTTCATCTCAACCCTCACCCAAGACATAATGAAACAAAGTGCCTAGACCAACGTAACTGTCCCACTGTTTCCCAGCCAGAGCCCATCAAATGCCCTGCTATGGAAATCACAGAGCTGCCAATATGGCCTGACTCCTCAGTGCTAAACTTAAAAGACATCTTTCACTCTTTCTCCTCTCTCTGTAATTCCAAATGGTCTCCGTATCTGATGTCACAATCCAGACTTTCCCTGTCTCCCTCCTCATTAGCCTTTACCTTAGTTGTACCTCTCAGCCTCACGATTCGTGGCTTCCAGTTCCCTGTCTGTCTTCTCCTTCCCACCTTCTTTCCTCTGTGAAGCCCCTTATGGTTCTTAAATACCCAGCTAAGGTTGAGCTCACCAAGTGTATGACTCTTTATAGTTTTGTTTCAGGGCTTCCCTCCAGTGGTTCAGCATACTTTCCCAAGGGGGAGGGCATTGCCAAGCTCAGCATCCCTGGATTCTTTGAACTCCATCTTTCATGCTAGTGCCCTTTTCAGGAGTACTGCCTCTATCTTCATTTGATGTGGGTGTGTGCTACTCTCATTGGTCTTGAAGTTCCATTAAGATAGTATTTCCAAAGCAGCTATCTACTGAATAAGCTAACATATTGTAATCTAGTTCAGCCATAATACCTCTTTGACGCCTTCTCTGACTTTCTTTAGTTATTTTTCCTCTTTCCCGCTCCTTTGGTTTGTGCTCATTTTCCTTCTTACATATATAGAATTGTGTATTTATGGGCCATTCTCCATATAAGCTAGTTTATGTGTGTTTGTGTATTATGTACGATGTGTGTGCATTATATGTGTGTGTGTGTGTGTGTGTGTGTGTGTGTGTGTGTGTATGTGTGAGTGCATGGGTGCCATGTATGTGTGTTTGGAGATCAGGCAGCAACCTTGTCTTCCACTTTATTTGAGACTGAATTTAACAGGATAGCTAGATGGCCCACAGACTTGTGGGGATTTTCTTGCCTCTCCCTCCCCTCTTACTACAGAACCCTGGGATTACAGATTTGCTAACATGCTAGGCTTTGTGCAGGCTGTGGGGATGTTCAAACTCGGATCGTTACACTTGCATGAGTTTACACTTTGGTCCAGATCCTCAATGAGAGAGTTTTTGATCTGTATGTCTAAAGTCTTACAGAGCGTGGAATTCAGTCAGCTTTTTATAAATATCCGCTGGATGGATGAGCAGATGGGTTGGTGGGTGGACAAGTATTTCTGAAGTGAATTTTTCTCAGAGCACACTTCTCTCAAGCTTTGGCTCTCGCTTTTAATGTACCTTCCTTTTCTCTGGGTTTTGACAGTTCACTTCTGTCAAATGCCTCCAAATAATCTTTCATGGCAAACATAAACAGGCTGTGATTGTACCAGCTTTGAAAAATGTTCCAAGTGGTAGAGTGACACAGTTACAGTGTTCTTACTTTTGTTTGTGTCAGTTTATAACATTCAGCCTGTACAGGCTGAGGAGAGGTAGTCAGGGCTGGCCATATTAAAGGGCTGGATTCCTTTCTCAAAGAGAACAATGTTTTATTGCAACATCTCTGTGTTGTTTAAGGCCATTCTTTGGGGTTGTGTTAGTAGAAGGCATTTATAGAAGCTTTGAACTGGGAGGGAAAACTGAAGCGTGTAATGGAAATGGGAATGCCACGATTGACAATGCTAATAGTTTCACAGGAGCGGCTTGGGAACAGTGCCCTGGTCAGCCACTGGTAATGTCCAATTGCTCGTGGGGGACTGGAAAGTACAAATATTTCCAAGAAACCAATATGCAGTATTTAATGGCTTTAAAATAGATTTTAAATATTTATGGATTTTTGCTTGCCTCCCTTTTAAAAATAAAATACAGTTAACTCAGATAAAGACAGTTTAGTTGTAGAAAGATGTATATGTATCTTTTATGTGGGCTTCTAGAAGCATGTTTTGAAAAGAACCAAATTAGTTATAATAACGTTACAGCAGCTGAGGCTGTTATCAAGCAGATTTTTACTATGTCAGCTATTCCTTAACTCTCCTGCCCTAGCCACACTGTTTCCTTTAATAACATAACGAAGCTGAGGCTACAGAATACTCAAATGAGGAGGCAGTGTGACGAGGCCATTAAAATGCTCAGTGTAAAACAAATACGTTTTTGAGATCAAGGCTCTGCCATAGACCAGACTCTGCCTTTGGAAAGTCTGGTAACTTTCTGGTTCCCCAAATTCATTTTTTTTTCATAGATCATATGGCAGATAGTACTCGGAGAATTAGAGCTGTGACTGGCTGCAAGATGATCATTAATATGGTTCTGTGAAAATAAATATCCAGTTACGTCTTAACCAGCACTGCCCTACTTGCTGGATTCTACTGTTTGTCACGAGGGACAGAGTTACATAATGGGAGCCTCTTGACTCTCTCTACCAATTCCATTTTCCTTCATCTCTGGATTTTCTGCTAAGATCAGTGGGGGGATTTCAGTCTGTTTTGAGCCAAGGCCTGCAGGCCGTGTCTCAGGGTTGCGTCCACTGTGTAACAGAGCACAGTTTTTACACTGCCTTCCTTGTTTCAGCGAGACCCGCGTGGAGGATGAAGAGGACCTCTATGACTGTGTGTACGGAGAGGATGAAGGTGGAGAAGTCTACGAGGACTTGATGAAGGCGGAGGAAGCTCAGCAGCCTGTAGGGCATTTGCTTGTTTTTCCTCAACTAACTCTGAGTGGTTTATTAGGAAGGTGATTAGTTAGAGGACTAATTAATGCAATTATTTAACTTCTCTTGGAATATAAAGTAAAAGCTTCTTGCTTGCTTATAACTTATATAGAGAGAACTTATTTGGAGATGCAAGCATGTTTTTGTTTCTTTTTCTCTTCCTTCTTTCTCTCCTTCCTTCCTTCTCTCCTTCCCTTTTCCTTCTTTATTTTTCAAGATGCCCATAGGACTTTCTGGCCTAATCTCTTCCTTCACTAGTGAGGAAGTTGAGTCTTAGAGGTCAGTGCCCTGCTAACTGGGTGAATAATGGCAGAGTGACAATGGGGTATAATCTCAGGAAATCATGAGACTGTAATTGTGAAAGTACGTCTTTTTCTAAAACATACATATTTTTCATTTTAAATTTAACATAGTATTTCAGTGCCTGTTTCTTTTCACTCATTAGTTCTTCTTACAAGTGACTCTCCCCTCTTGTTTTCTTTTTCTTTTCTTTCTTTTTTTTTTATTCCTCTCTCATACATTGCATCCCAACTACAGTCTCCCTCCCTCCACTCCACCTAGCGCCCTCCCCAGATCCTCTGTTTCTCCGTTTCCCTTTAGAAAAGAGCAGGTCTCCCAGGGATAGCAACCACAACGGTATAGGTATAACAAGATACAACAGGACTAGACACGGACCTAGGCTAAACAAGGCAATAAGTCTTTTTTTTTTTTTTAACTTCTCCAGATACTAGCATAACTAATATGCTCTCAAAGTTTCTGTGTTGTGCATCCATCTTTATCATCCAGAAGGAACTGCTTTGAACTGTCTTCTCATCTATAATTTGAAAATGTGAAAAGTCAGTCACTTAGGCATTTATTAGCATATTCTTTTATCCTAAAGGCTTCTTCATGAGCTGGGTGGTGACTTAGCTTCTTTGGGGATTTCTTGAGTCAGCTCAGCTGTCTGTGCTCTGGCTTTTAATGAAGGACCAAGGGAGGCTGGTGGGTTCCACACTGGGGAGCAGAGGCACAGAAGTGGGGTGGGAGTAAGTCACTCATTCTATATTTAGGAAATATAATAACTGTGTTTAACTTGATGCATGAGAGGTTTGCTACGCTGGCAGCACCGTCAAGGGTGTTTTCAGGTGTGTCTCTTTGCCTCGCCTGGAGTCATCAGCTGCTTTGATGCCAGCAGGTCTTCAGGGTCTCCTCTACCCTAAGACAGTCTTCCCCACCACACAGCTCTGGGCGGTTGCTATGAGCTATAATTAACAACAATAATAATTTAGACTCATTGGCAAGGTGCAGAATGCTTTACGTGGCTTCTGTCACTTGTCACTCTTTAGCTTTGGTGCTGTATTTCTGTTTTACAGAGGTGAAAACCAAGTCACAGAGAAACTTAGTAACTTATCTGTACTTAGAAAGCTTGACAAAATCAGTGTCAGAACTGAATTCTGTTTTGTCTGTAATTCTCTGACTTTAGTGTACTTTAAAGTAATTGAGTGTACTTTAACACTCAATGAAAGAACCCAGTGTTTGTGTATGTGTATGTGTGCGTGGTGTGTTGTTGATAATTAATACCTTGGCTTGATATATCTTAGGCATGAACCCAACCACTGAGCTATATCAGCTCTCATATTCCTTTCAAGTATTTAATAAGTAATTTTAATATTTTGTAGTCATTTCTGCAGTTCATGTGAAATCTGCAGTCTATGAAGGAAGTGCCTAGACTATGTGTGTTACCAGATTCATTAACATTTGAATAAAAGAGGTATATTTATTAAGTAGAATATCTATTTTAGAAGCTTATCTTAATCACTTAAAACTTTTATTTATAGCATTGGAAAAGAAAAGCTCCAACAAAATATGACACAAATGCAGCTAAGTGTGTCTTTTGGTTATGTTTTGTTAGAATGGAAAGTGTAAGGGAATCCTCAGTGATTTTGATCTTTCCTAGATAAATTGTTGTATGAATTCAACTAAATAGTTTTAACTTTTATCTTCCTATCTGCAGAAATCACAAGAAAATGATATACGGAGTTGTTGCCTAGCAGAAATTAAGCAGACAGAGGAAAAATATACAGAGACTTTGGAGTCAATAGAAAAAGTAAGTCGTCAGGTATTGAAGCCCCAAGGTTGTCTTGCATGAGCTATGTGCTAGACCAGCTCCTTTTGTATATATGTGAATGTATATTCTAAGATTTGCACTGAATGCCGGGCTCAGGAAAGCATATACGACATGGACTTACTTACAGATATAATCTAAAAACAACACTGAAGTCATACAAGTAGCAAGTAGAATTTGGATCAGTACAGCCTTTGGTGGTAGGAATTGTAGTTAAAAGATGTATGCTTATGTTTGAGAGGAGGAATATTTAAGCATCTATATACCCAGAGTAGGCACACACAAAAACAGTTTCCTGGAACTTTAGGGAAGAGTAGTGTGTGTATATAGATTGAGGAGGGTGGGTTGCTTGGGAGGAGAAATGATGTATGACCAGTAACTAAAGTTTGTGGGATGTTTTATGCGACAAGCAGATTTAAAATTGATTGTGGTGGCTGCGAAGCTCTGAACATCCAAGAGCCATTGGACTGCAAACTAAGTAGCTGAGTTGTGAGAACCATGAATTATGTCTCAATAAAAGCCTCCCAAATAAAGATAAAGATATCAAAGCAGATTTATACATTCTACAGCTATTTATTGCTATCTCGACCTCTAAATGGCACTGTTTTAGGAACTGATGATAAGCAGCAAAGACAGGAAGACTGTAGATTCTTGTGGTACTTTCTGCATTGTGGCAAAGTTTAGGCTGAAGCAAATAAGAACGCCAGTTGGGTAGGAAGTTACCTGAAGAAAATCAGGATGAGAGAATGGCTGGGCATGGGTTAGAGGTTGATAACAGAAGACCTCTCTGTAAGAACATGGCACTTAGTTCGTCAGCTGAGAAAGGTGAGGGCACAGGCCATGTACATGTTCTGCTGAAGAGAGTTCCAGAAGAAAGGCTATCCAGAAGGGGTTCACTAGGAGCATCGGATGGGGGCAGTATTTAACTTATGCTTTATGAAATAGCAGGGGTCCAGTGAAGTAGATGGAAGGGGTGAGGGAGATTGAGGAGGAGGCCATAGAACTGGTGGGCTACCAAGTCATATAGGGACAAAAGCTAGAGCCTTTAGCAGGTGTGATATAAAGGTTTTTAAGCCTTTATCACTGCACTCTGACTCTTGTGAAGCAAGAATGGGAAGTACGAGAAAATAGAAGGGTATTATAATAATCAGGATGACAAGAAATTGTGATACAGAAGGAGACTATAGGGGAAGTCAGACTTTGGAATTATTTGTCAAGATTGTGAAAGAAGGAATACGCAAAGATGGCTTCTAAACTTTGGCCTGTGTGAATGCATGAATGGTAATGCTGTTTAACAAGATGGAGAGAAGTCATGAATCCCTTGGACAGTTAAACTTAGACTTCCACTGGGATATATTGAGGCAGATATTAAAGATGCAAGTCTTATGTTGATAGGAAAGTTTGTTATGTACAGATAGGGCCTTTAGTCTCTAGTACTAAATAAGGTCATGACAGGAAAGGCATGTTCTTAGGGCGTAAGTTTGGGGCCACCCCTAGTGACTCCCACATTTATAGGTTAGCAAAATGAGAACCAGGTGAAAGTTTTTTAGCTATTGGAAAAGGGATGGTACAGAAGAGTTGCTTAGGACACTGAAAGAGTCAGTTAATTAGGAAAACTGTGTGGACATGTAGCATTACTGAACCTATTGTACTTCATGTTTTTTTTTTTTATTAAACTATCAATATAGTCTATGGATATGTAAAATACGTGGCAAGCTAGATATAGCCAATGGTGGTTTGCTTTTTTAGAAAAATATAGTAGAAGAAGAAAGAGGAAGAGGAAGAAGGAGGGGAAGAAGGGAGGGAGAAAGAAAGGTGGGGGGAGGGAAGTCATTCTGACAGTGGGCTGAAGACTAGGTAGGGAGAGGAGCAAGGCCGTGAAGGATGTGAGACCCGATAGACTGGACACAGTAGGGTTAGAGAATTTCTTTAAAAAAAAAAAAAAGCCTCGCAGGTTGGATGTAGGGTTCAGAGAGAGAGAGAGATGCTTGAAATTAATCTGAGAAGCATACACAGCTATTGATAATGACAATATCTTGAGGTGTGCCGATGATTGGGAAGAAAGGAACTGACAAGTGGGGTTCCTGAAAAGGGTTGTCTAGACAGATAAGAAGATTACTCACAATGAAAGAAAGGTACAAGCTTGATGCTAACGTCTCGAGTGATGAATGGAAACGGTGTACAAACTACCAGAGTAGATGATTCATCCTGGGAATCTGTGTCCTCGAGCACATCTCCAGAAGTTGCCATTGTTTACCTGCTTGGTCAACAGTGTTCTTTCTAAGTTTCAGAAGCACTTTGTCTTATAATTTAAATGTCTCAGCTTGTTTTTATGTCTTTGTTTGCTTATGTATGAGTGCGATATGCATGCACATGTGTTTGTGTCTCTACATGTATGTGCACAGTGTGTACATGTGAATGGAGGCGTGAAGTTCTTGTTATGCGTCTTCCTCTATTGTTCTCCACTTCCTTTACTGAGACGGGGTCCCTTGCAGAATCCTGAGCACTGATTGCAGGTAGTCTCGCCGTCTGCTTGCTCCAGGAATCCCTGACTTAGCTTCTAAGTGCTGTGTTTATAGGTGCCCGCCACATCTGCACAGCATTTTTCACGGATTCTGGGGATCTGAACTCAGATATTCATGCTTGTGTGCCGAGCGCATTAGTCGCAGAATGTGTTCTTAGCTGTTTAATGCAAAGTTTTTAAGATAGAGAAAATGTTTTCTACTATTTGTATTTATAATGCAACAAATAACTGACCTAAATTTTGCTGGTTGATAAAAAAAATCATCATGTAGAGTAGGCAAACTTATGCTAAGTTAAAGTGACTTTTCTCTTGTCTCCTGGTAGTATTTCATGGCACCATTGAAAAGATTTCTGACGGCAGCAGAATTCGATTCAGTATTTATCAACATTCCTGTAAGTAAAGTTGTGACAGGTGATGTGTGTTTCTAAGAAGTCTTCACTTTTTAGTGGGCTCACGATCCTTACTTTATCACTTTACTTGTGGTTTCTATGAATCTTGGCTTCCCAAGTTCTCATATCCTTACCCTTTTGAAAAACTCACATGGTATCTTTAACCCAAGGTCCTTTAGGAATGCATGCTGTGCACAAATGGATAGGTAAGGTTCACATCTTATCCCTGTCTTGTCGTATGTAGCGGCACTCTCAATTAAGTGATTGTGATGGCACTGTCTGGCTGTTTGTCTCAGTATTCCCTGGTGTAGCCCCTGGAATGCCATTTACCTTCCTCCATTCCTTCATTTTGCCCTTCGCCCATTGGCAGTTAGATCTGCTTGTGGTTGTGTCTACCTCAACTTACATTTAGATTCACAATTTCCTGTCTTTTTCTTTATTATTGTCTTATAAGAAGAAAATGCTCACAATAGCAAATGGAGACATACCATTAAAAACCCAAACATGCCATTCTAAGAAGTAGGAACCTCTCTGAACCCCCATACTGTGCTCATTCACCTAGTTCGATGGTCCCCACTCTTATGGCTCTTACCCAGCAAAATACTAGAGATGACATATTCATCTTCAGTTTTCAGCCTACAAAGAACAAGGTGCTGTCATGTTTCTCTGTGCTCTGAGGTATATAGAAAGAGATAATGGAGAATTGAGAACATGATTCACATTTCCTCATTTCCACACTATGACACACATTCCCTGGCTGCTGAAAATGACTTGCTTATCAGAATAAAAAATGAAATTCAGACTTTTGAGTTGCTGTAGTCAACTGTCTAGCATAATTTCTTTCCTACATTTTTGTGTCAGTAGTTGTCTGGTTTCAAGCAATTTAGTTTGATTGTTGTCAGCTTAGCACTAGGACACCGCTAATTGACCAAAGGAGAGATCTGCGTCTCTGTCCCAAGGACATGAGTCATTACTTTAGTCCATCAATAAAACAGTAAGTACTTGATTAGTTTTGTTTTAAAAATTTGCAATGATTATAAAATTAAACAGCTGTGTATATTTTTATTCAAAGACTAAATTGACCTATAATAGCAAGTAAGATAGTACACTGCTATTTCTATTCCTACTAAAATTACTATTTACCATGCCTATATCTCTCTTTCTCCTCTCCTGCTTTCTGCTACCCTTTGCCTCTACCCTCTTCATCCTTCTTCTCTCTGAGTGACAAATCTGGCCACAGTGGGAACTCTGGTTGGGGTGTGGTTTCTGTTTCTGATTTTTACTTTTATTTTTAAAATGTTTTCTTTTCTAAGGACCTTGTAAAAGTTCATCGGAGCTTGATGCAAGAGATCCATGATTCTATTGTAAATAAAGGTGACCAGAACTTGTATCAAGTTTTTATTAACTACAAGGAAAGGTAACTTTTGCATTTAAACATGTGTGGGTATCGGTTTGGAATTAGAGTAAATGTTAGTATTAAAATGGAAGTATGTATTTCTTTTGTTTATTAAAATACTTGTAGACAGAAATTAGAACATCACATAGGTCATCTCAAGGAAGTAGTTTGAGCTTTAGATGTTGTTGACGACGATGATGATGATGATGATGATACTAGGCTGGCGAGATGTTCAGCAGTTCAGAGTACTGACTGTTCTTGTAGAAGTTCGGTTCCCAGTATCCATGTCTACTTACAACTATCTTTAACTCCACTTCCAGGTGATCTAATGTCCTCTTTGGCTTCTAGACACTAAATCTATATGCAGTGCACACGTATACATGCAGACAAACACCTATACATGCATAATAAAAAGTTTTAAAAGCATGCCCAGTAGAGCATTTAAATTTTTCCATGGCAGAGAAACAAACAGGCTAAGGTCCTTTGTTGGGGCTTGTCACTCCTGAATGATGTAATCTTCACTAACATATTGATGATTGGGCTCTTCCCTTTCCTCTCTGTAGTAATGGGAAAGAGGAGCTGCTACTCTAATATTTTACAATTTGAAAAAAAAAATTGGCACATAAGATTTATAGTCAAAGGCAGTGAATTCTTGGTCTGGGAGATAAACTTGATAAAAACATTTACCGTGTGAATGTGACGAGTCTTTGGAACCCTCATAAAAACTTACATTCCCAGCACTGGGCATGGGGGCAGGGAGCAGACACAGACAGATCCTTGAGGCTTACTGGTCAGCCAGCTTAGCTCCAGACTAAGTATGAGACACATACACAAACACACACAAATGCACACATAGAGAGACACAGATACAAATACACACAACACAAACACACCACAAATATACATATGCATGCACACATACATATATAGAAACAAACACACATACACACAAACAGACACACATACATACACACCACAAATGCGTATAGATATGCACACACACAAATACATATACAAATATATATACACAAACACAGATATACACACGAAAACATAAGTATACAGAGAGACAGAAAGAGAGAGAGAAACAGACAAAGAGACAGATCTATGTATCTTTCCCCTAACATGGAATATCTTTTTTTTTTTCGGATTCAAATATACTGCTCTCTCATTTTAAACGAAGCAACATAATTCCTAACACCAGCAGTGGCTAATGAATTGCTTTGTGTCAGCTCTCGATAAACATTAACCGTTTATTAGTACTTTTAGCCAGTGGAGAGATAAAAGGAACAACAGAGCTAATAGCCTCTTTGCAGAATATCTGTGATGTGGAGATGTCCTTGGGGGGCAGACTCCGTGCAGTGTGAGTTATCCTCCGTGCACGGAGAGGGGTTCAGGCCTCTCTTCCCACTTCTCGGATGATGTATGTTCCTTAATTAAATGCAGCAAGGAGTGGAAGGTTTATTAATGGGTGGAGTCCTGGCGGCTGTAATAAAATTATAGTAGAAAATATAACTGTCTTGAGTATTAGTAAACAGTAAAAAGTTTATCTTCAATAAAAGCTTAAAGAATTTTTTGATATATATATATATATATATTCAAATAACATTAGCAGTCACTAAGCAGTATTGTAAAATCTGTCTTCTATAAAATATACATGGACTCAGTCTTATTCTAATTTGGAACCAAAATTGTTTCGCTACTGTCAATGTGAATGGCCCTCACTTTGCATGAAGTGTATGTTAGAAAGAGTCTCGGGGCCGGAGAGAATGCTCATGGGTGGAGAACACTTGATGCCTTTGCAGAGGACCAAGGTTCCGTTCCCAAAGTCCCACATTATAGCTGCCAGTAACTTCAGTTCCTGGGACCCCAGCATGCTTTTGTGGCCTCTTTGGGTACCTGTGTAGATGTGGTACACATACAAGTGCAAGCATGTGCATACCTGTGAGTGCATGTACCAATAAAATAAAATAAATAAATCTTTTAAAAATCCTGTTACTGCTTTATAGCCCTGAGTATGGCTTTAAAGATCTGGGCATTCCCTCTTTCTTCCTCTGCTTGTTTCCTTCCGCCTTACAGGTTTATCTTCTTCCTTTCAGATTGGTTATTTATGGGCAGTACTGCAGTGGAGTGGAGTCGGCCATCTCTAACCTAGACTACATCTCTAAGACAAAAGAAGATGTCAAACTGAAGTTGGAGGTGCCTGTTCATTCCTATTATTTGTTTATCGCTTAAAAATGAAGTTAAGCAGTGTATCCCTCTACCTCATGAGTGCAACAGCACACTTCCTCAAGTGTGCAAAATATAACCTCACTCCAGTTTTATAAACTATTTAAAAAGATGGCCATGTTGTTAGTCAAAGCTATGGTGGTAATTGTAGCGGGAGCAGAACCTAACTTTGTGGCTGCGGGTTTTATAGGACATTCTTTCCTTAGGTCCTCTTTACTGTGATGTGTGTTCTAGTAACTCTCTTATTCTGTGGTTGAAAAGGCTGGGTGTAGGGAGGTCATGAGTGAGTTACCTCCGTAGTGAGAGGTATAGGATAGATAGGGTTTCTCTGTCTCTGTCTCTGTCTCTCTCTCTCTCTCTCTGTATTTCAAGGGTTTTTGCATAGCATAAGGCATTTGCACATGTATAAAATACATAGGTATTGCCCATAAGAAAGAAGAATAGACAGACATACAAATGTAAAAAAAAAAAAAAAAAGTTCTATGTGACTGTGAGAAGTCTGTCTGAGTAAGTTGGAACAGTCACTTCCGAGGAATAGATGGAAAGATAGTAAGACTGAAGGCTTTTGCTAAGTCATGGTTTGGGAGGTGAGGATGGTGATAAACATCTACAATCCCATCACCTGAGGGGCCACGGCAGGAGGATTGCAAGTGTGAGGTCAGTGTGGGCCATACTCAGACACAGATACATAGAGACACACACACACACACACATACACGCAGAGACACAGACATACACATATCTATCTATATATGTATGAATGTATTTATATGTATCTCAGGACCCCTCCACTCCCCCAAAGTCATACTTTATATGTATTAATTATATTCCATAAGAGTTTAGATGTTCAAAGAACTTCTGAAAAATGGTTGTTATATGGAATAGTATCTTTAGCGATATTTTTTTGTAGCTACTTCAGTATCTCCGTTCTCCCTTTCTTTGTTTAGTTTATCCATGATGAACAGAAAAAAGGGGAAAGCCTTTCAAATCATAGCCCTTTCTTGTTTTAGCATAGCAAGCATGATTCCATCACTTCCATCTTCCACGGAAAGGCATTATTGCTTAGGAGGCACAATGACAGGGTACCGAGTATTTCATAGTGTCCCTTGATGACGGTGACCTTATATCTAGAGACAGTTTAGTCACCAGTAAATGACATCCTTAAAGTATCATTGGCACCAAAGGTTAATGCTTTTCATAGAGAAAGGACACTCATAAGTGTAGAGGTCTAAGCTACCTTGACTCAAATAGATATGATGATAAAATAAAACTTTACAGCTCATGTTATTAGTTCGGAGTGGAACGGTAGTTAAAGCAGCTTTTTTCTTTTTTTTCTTAAATGAAGGTATAAAACTGTGGTTCGAGGTGGGAGTCAGCATTGTTGTCTGTCAGACTTCTGTGGTTCTCAGTCCTGTTGAATGGCTGCTCCTCTCTCAGAATTAGTGTCAAAGCTCCGCACAGGACATGCACCCCAGGATTGTACAGCCTGTCCACGTTGTGCCAGTCTCGGGAGAGGAGAGGCCTCAGGCTGAGTTGAAAGGCTGCAAGTGAGAGGCTGCAACTCAGCATGCTGCCTCTCGCTGGGCTCAGATGTCCCACTTTTGAACAGGGCCTGACTTGGGAGAATTTAATGAGAAAGTGTAACTCGGGCACCCCGCAGGATGTTATGAAAGCTGTCTTCCTCTTGACGCCTGTCGTTTCCATTTTCTTTCGTTAGTGCTTCTATGTATGTTTTCTGGTTGTTATTTTTCTTATGTGTGAGTATGTGTATCTTTTCTACTTTGGAATCAAGGTAACATAGGGAATGGGGTAAGAGACTGTCTCTTCTTTTGAGCCTGAGCTTAAACTCAATAATAGTGCTTTCAGTTAAGATTGGGTTTAGGAAACAGGAAACAACCTTGAAACCTGCCACAGAGGGCCTCTGAAAGCTTCTGCAGTATAGACTGTCAAAGCAGATGCTGAGCCTGATGGCCAACTGATGGGCAGAGTGAATGGAATTTTATGTAAGAGTGGGAAATAGTAAGAGCTGGAGGGGACGGGAACTCCACAAGGAGAGCAACAGAACAAGATAATTTGAACACAGGAAACTTCCCAGAGACTCATACTCCAACCAAGGACTATTCGTGGAGATGACCTGGAACCCCTGCACAGGTGTAGCCCATGGCAGTTCAGTGTCCAAGTGGGTTACATCGTAATGGGAAGAGGAACTGCCTCTGACATAATCTGATTGGCCTGCTCATTGATCACCTCCCCCTGAGGGGGGAGCAGCCTTACCAGGCCACGGTAGAGGACAATGCAGCCACTTTTGATGAGAACTGATAGACTAAGATCAGAAAGGAGAGGAGAACCTCCCCTATCAGTGGACTTGGGGAGTGGCATGCATGCAGAAAGGGGAGGGAGGGTGGGATCGGGAGGGGAGGAGGGAGAGGCTTATGGGGGGATACAAAATGAATAAAGTGTAATTAATAAAAAATTAAAAAATAAAAAATAAAAAAACACCAGACAACGCACTGTGAGACAAAATAAAACAACAAAAACCTCAAAAAAAAAAAAAAAGATTGGGTTTAGGCCAAGTGTGTGATGGGTTATTTAAGAAGCGTTGTTTATGTCTTTTTTTTTTTTTTTACTTTCAATGATAAAAATTTATACCCCAGCCACCAGCTGCAGTATAGTTGATGCCAATAATGTGTTTTCCCCATGAGCTTGGAACTTCAACAAACTGATTCTGCCTCCCCGCCCCCAATCACTTTAAGTGAATTTCTTTGATTTTACATGTTCAAATTTCCATCCCTTGCACTGACGGCCTACATCCCAGTGGAAATGCAGAGTTATAAGAACTCTGCCATTCTAAGGAGCTTAAAATGCAATGGAGGGAGAAGACCTGGTCCTTATTGTAATGATTTGACCTCCTAGTTGAGAATCATGATCTGGAATACTTGTAATCTGCGGATACAGGGAAGCTGTTGACCTCATGGGCTGGGGAGATAGCACAGTCAGTGAAGACCTTTTCTGTGCAAGCATGAGGCCCTCAGATCAGTCTCCAGAAGCCGCAATGAAAAGCTGGATGTGATGGCACATGAATATGCTTTTACCTCTGGGAGAGGAAGATGGGAAGAACCCATCTATCCCCAAGGCTTCCTGGCCATCTGATATAGCCTTCTTGCTGAGTGCCAGACCAATAAGAGACCCCATAACCAAGGAAGATGGCTCCAGAGAAACAACACCTGCAGTTGTCTCTCAAACACGTGTTAATCCATGTACATTCAGGAACTCTATTGAAACATTTATCTTCCAAATGAACTGTGTTAATTGAGACACAGGTAACTAGTCAGCATATTTTTTTTTCTAGCTCAGCTTCCCCTAGATCTGTAGTCAAACACTCATGAAGTCATCGTGGTTATTAGAATCACTGGCATTAATGTCATAGCTCCTGATAATGCCTCTGAATGTGCTAGAAAAGCTAAGAGTAGTCAAAGGAACAAATTCATAGCCCACATATTACCATAAGTAACTCTGTACATTGAAGAAGCCCTTGGTCTGGCACATGAAGAATATTGAACTCATGAGGTTTTTCTCTAGCAATGTTCTTTGCCATTTTGGCATCTTTTGGAATAATACCATTTATATAGGATTCTCTAGAGGAACAGAATCGATAGAATGAATCTATTTCCCATTCCTGGCACTAAAATCTGCATTACTCAGGGCTCTGTAAACCTATCTAGAAACCTATATAAAAAGGGAATTTATTAGAATGGCTTACAGATGGTGGTCCAGCTAGTTCAACAATGGCTGGCTATCAAAGGAAAGTCTTAAGAATCTAGTAGCTCTTCAGTCCATGAAGATGGATATCTCAGCTTGTCTACAGTGTATACTCAAATCCTGAAGAAGTAGGCTCTAATTCCAGTCGAAGACTGGACTAGTCGGTAAGAGAGGGCAACTAGGCAAAGAACAAAAGCTTCCCTTTTCCATGTCCTTTATATAGGCTTCCACCAGAAGATGTGGGTTAGATTAAAGGTGGACCTTCCCCCCTCAAAAGGTCAGGATTAAAGATGGGTCTTCCCACTTCAAATTATTTAATCAAGAAAAATCCCTCACAGGTGTACTTAGCTAACAGTGACTTGCCCAAGTCACATGGCCAGGCATTTGTACGTTAATACTTCAAATTAAAATTATTTACCCCAAGGTCACAGTTACAATCAAGAGTGAAGAAGTCAATATTATTTTTAAAGTACACTTTTTGTTTGTTTTATAACAAGATTTACTAGGTAGCCTCACACTTATATCAATCCTCCTGCCTCAGGCTCTTGGGTGCTAGAAGTATAGACATGTACCACATGCCCAGCTTAAAGTATTTTTTTTTTTGAGAGGATTAAGTATGTAAAATCCGAGGCTTTAAAATATTAACGATGGCAGCACATTTATATTTTAACTTTCAACCAAATATTCCAGCTTATTTAATTCAATAAATATTTATTGAGAAAACAGAGTTGTTGTTGTTGTTGTTGTTTAGAGGCTTAAGGGACATGTCTTTAATCCAAAAGGTATTACTGGGGCAGATACTCTTTACAATGATAGTTAACTGGCTACATGGTAAACGTGTACACAGGGAAAGACAAAAGAGGGAAGACAGGAGGGAGGGAAGAAGAGATAAATAAAATGGTTTTGACAGAAATTCTTCATAAAGCCTGGTGGAATGCTTTGGAAAGGGGATGGTGGTTTCTTCTGGAGACTGGAAAGAGTGTTTGGATGGAACTGATGACGCCAAAGCATGATGCTAGATAAGCCCACATGGCCTTAATGAGTGAAGGTTTGCCACTATTTGGTTCATAAGCCTGAGGGGAATGCAGGAGGTAGAGCTCTAAAGGAAAACTGGATTGGATTATGTGCTATAAAAATAATCTTTACTCATAAGACTTCTATTTGATCCAAGTTACGATTTGAAATACTATAAGTGCTTAAAAAAAACTGACTATATTGTTTGAACATAAGTATTGCCAAGGAAAAGAACAAAAATATTTTATAAGGATTATACTTGTGGACTTTGCAATTTGTAGTGCTTTCTTGACTCCCTTTGAGTAAACTAACAAAAATTTGAAATCCGTTGCATTAGGAATGTTCAAAAAGAGCAAATAACGGGAAATTCACTCTGCGGGATTTGCTGGTCGTCCCCATGCAGCGTGTGCTGAAGTACCACCTCCTCCTTCAGGTCTGTACTGTAACAACTCTGCGGTGCGCCTGTTCGTCCCACAGAACACCATGGGCATCCACCGTGCTGCCGATTGTCCAGATAGTCAGGGCTGAGTGAGATGGCTACGACAGCTAGGCATTTTATTTTCCTCTTCGCAAAAACCAACCAACCAAACAAACAACGACAGCTAGGCATTTTATTTTCCTCTTCGCAAAAACCAACCAACCAAACAAACAAACAAAATACAAACCCAGATTCTGTCTTCATTAAAAAGACACATTTTGTGTTCTTTAAACGGGATAAGAAAAAAAAGAAAAAAGAGTGAAGCAAGTACAAATATGCCTTTCACAGCATCTTCCAGAGTTAGCAACAATCATTTGCCAGTGAGTCAACATACTAATTTGATCAGATTACCCACATTAGACTCTCTGGCTTACCACAATAATTAAGTGAAGATTGTGTCACGGGCTGCATGGCTTTTTCACTGCACTAAATATAATAAGGCGACATCTACTGTGAGGAGATTCTTACTATAACCCACAAAGTTTATGGTTTCCACGGTTAGTCCTCTAACGAGGGTGGAGAGTCTTATAAATTTAATTTGATAGCTATACCAGGAGGCTCATTAGTTCTGCTCCAAAGAAATGTCTTATTGTATTAGTCTGCCAGCCCAGATGATGCATGAGGAATGTCATTTTAAAAAGATCTACTACCTGTATGTGAAATAGAATTCTGAGTCGTCTTCGCTTTGTACATCTTATATATTCAATTTCTTGAACTGTAGCCATGCAATTATTAGTCACTTCTATTTTGGTTCTACTGAGAAATCAGAAAAATTCAAACCTTGATTATTCCTTAAAAATGCATTAAAACATTTATGAGACATAAACTCAAAGCAACTTAATCAAATTGGATTTTATGAAAAAATAATAAGGGCAACTCAGGCAATCAGCTTTCAAGGCATCGTGGAGCTAAAAATGGGTCCAAAATAAGATAATAATTTATTTTGTTACTTTGATATAGTGAAGCACGGATTGAAGAATTTAGAAGGTTCAGATCAAGAAAAAGACACTTTGGATCCTTGTAAGATTTTGTGTAGACTCAAAAACTAAGAAATACAATTATATGTTTTTGAAACTTCTGACTTATCCTGCTATTTTTCTTCTGCTGTTTTGTATTTTAGATTTCAAGAATGCGTGGTATTCCATGACTTTTTTTTTTTTTAACAGGAAGCTTTATTTTGGGCACTCTATGTTGATAAAAATTTTAGAGTTTTTGTTTTTTTAATTTTAAAGTATTTTGTATTTGTCTGGTGTCTAGGAATTTGCTGAACAACTATGGTTATTAGCATGTAGATTTTTCTCCTCACTACTGCACTTTCATGATTTCTCAGAGAATTCACTTCTGGATGCTGGCTGATTTTACGACAGTGACACAAAATTTAAAATATTACTGGCAACCAGGGAACTGGCGTGGGTCTTTGACCTAAGGCCCTCTGCATATATGTTACAGTTGTGTTGCTTGGTCTTCTTGTGCCATTCCTGACAGTAGGGGCAGGGGCTATCTCTGACTCCTCTGCCTGCTTTTGGAGACCCCTTTCTCCCACTGGGTTGCCTTACCAGCCTAAATAGAGGGGGAGGTGTCTAGTCTTACTGCAGCTTAATAAGCCATGTTTGGTTGATATCCGTGGGAGGCCTGCCATTTTCTGAAGAGAAATAAAGGGGGAATGGGTGGGGTGGGGGAGGTGCTGGTGCCAAGACGGGACTAGGAGGGGGGAGGGGAAACCGCACTCAGGATATAATATATGAGAGAAGAAGAAATAAAGAAAATTAAAATATTTGATATGGGGAGTTTGGGAAACTTTAAGAGTGATTTAATATTTTGTTTAACAAAGTGAGAATAAAAATAGAATTTTGGTGAATTTTTATACTTGGCAGTCCTCTCTTTCTGCAGGTCTGTTTGTAACAAGAAACAGAACAGTACTGGGGCCTTTAGAGAATTTCAAGTGGGCTCTTTTTTCCCCCTTCTTTTTTAAATGTGCCAAACAGCGTTAGGAATGTATTGTATGGCAGGACTCGCCCCAGTAAGGCTCGCCATTTAGAAGAACAAGCCAATGCAACCTTTGAAGTGTAACACAATGTGATGGGTACACAGAAGAGACAAAGGACTCAATAACTACACCTCAGTTTGCTGGGAACCCAACTGCAGGCTTTGTCTCCTCTTTTTAGAGAGGGGTAATCTGTGGATTGGGCTTTGAAGGAGTAGCATGAGTATGACAGGTAGACAAGACGAGGAACTTTCTAAAAGAAAACACCATGTCCTATGGGTTACATATGAATACCTTTGAGAAGTGTAGATTATTTAGTGTGGGTAGAAAGTAGATCTTCTGGGTGGGAGCTGAGAGAAAGGGATTAAGAGCCATTTGTGGGCTCCAGACGCAGAGCGTGACTCCTAGGAGGTATTGGGTGACAGCTGAAGCATCTGGGGACATCACAGAAGTCTAACCAGGCGCTAGAGACAAGACCTGACACAGAGTTTAGAAACCTGCTTGGTATCAGAGCTGTGGACAGACTACTGGAAGGAGAGACTGTAGGTCTGAACTCTTTCAAAAACACTTAGGAATAAACAGTTTGAGAAGACGGCAAGGAGTCGGTGTTAGGGAACCACCAGGAAGGTGCTGTCCAGGGCAGAATCAAATTTAATATCAGGGAGACAGAGGGAAGAAAAGGGGAGGGCAGAGCCTGGCATACCACTCAGGTTTTGGCTTCAGGTGTTACACCAATAGAAATGCTGCTATTTAATCAAGCACCTCCAGTCGCCACTTCATCCTGGATGAGGCTGGAGCAAGTTTGGGACTTATTAAGCTTAGGGGTCTATGAGACTGTTATTTAGTTAGACATGTGAGTCTGGTATTGGTTGTGATATCTGAGCTGAGCAGATAGACTGCAGAGAGATGGCCTCATTAGCTGACAATTGATATGACAGTGGTTGAGATCAAATTTGTGGAATATGTAAAAAAAAAAAAAAAAAAGACAAAAGGCTGAACATGTGGGTGAGAGCAACTCTATGAGAAAGGAAACCATTTGAGACCAAAGAGGATGCAGGAATTTCGGATATATGAGCAAAACAGTGACAACAATGACCCACAAAGCATCCTCTTGTTCCTGAAATGGAGGTGTGGCATTTGAATCAACAGTCTTAGGGGAGTAGGAAGCACCCACTCACCTGAGCTCAGGCTGTCCATCAGAACATCTGGGAAACAGCACAGTTATAATGGTGATGGTAGGGTTCAGCTGAGAAAAGAGTTTGTGAACCTGGAAATTATCACACTGTGCAGAGACTGATGGCAGTGTCTGAAACCTTCTGTGTGCTTGTCTCTTCAGTGTTGGTTTCAAATTTAAAGAAAGTGTTGCTAACCTGTGTCTTCCAAACAGGAACTGGTCAAACACACCCATGATCCTACCAAGAAGGCAAACCTGAGGCTGGCTCTGGATGCAATGAAGGTGAGGCGGCTGCAGTGGGAACTTGCTTATGTCTCCTATTCCTGCCTGGAAACGATGACATCCAAGCTGCCAGCGGGTATATGTGATACCCTGACCTGACCTGAACACACAGTCACTCAAAGCTGTTACCATTCTCACTTTTTACTGGTGAGGAGAGCGAACAGACTTACTGAAATAGTGAAATATTCACTATTGCCTGGTTTTCTGAGACTGAGACTTCCTGGTTCTTGCTATGTAACCCGAACTGGCCTCAAACTTGTGGGCACTGTTTCTTCATCGGCCTCGGAAATGGAGTTCTTACAGGGATTTAAGTGCCAGACAAAAATGTCGTAAAACCAAGAGGGATGCTAAAGCTGCTTTTGTGTAGTATGCTAACTTGTATAGCTTCCAGGAGTGACTCTAGATAGCGACTGTGTTTCACACTCTTCTCCTTGCTACTTCTATAACTCTTGGCTTGAAGAAGCAGAGGGCTACGGCAGACTTGAGGATCACTAGTGTGCTTCATTTTCCTCAGAAAGATCCTCTGTTGGGTTGCACATAGTGGATGCTGTACTTTGGGTTTTTGTTTCTAGTTAAACCTGAAAGTCAAGAAGGCAGATGGCTAGATAATAGATGTAGGCTTGTCGAGGAATGTCTGTCTGAAAGCCCATTCCACATTTGACTCTGAGTCGTAACTGAAACAGAGTTGAGTATTTGTTTTTGAAAGGAAGTGACAGGGCATCATCTAGCTAGTTAAATGTGCTCTGGACCAGACCCAGCATTGGCTCTGCTGTTTAGATGATCACAGTGGATGTGTCCTGACCATTCCTTGGTCATTTACTATGGTTAGAAGAACAACAAACTTTGTGCCCTTAGGGAAGTCTTGGAGAGGGGCATGGGAGGAGATGAGGAAAGGAAGCAGTGAGGGAGGGGGCTACAGCTGGGATACAACGTGAATAAACTGTAATTAGTATAAAAATTAAAATTAAAAAAGAAGTCATCTGTGCCAAGCTTCCCTGAGAACATGGTTAAGAGAATTGCTATTTGCAGAGTCGTGTTCCTGTTGTAGATTCGTGAAAGAGGCTAAAGGGCGGGGCGGGAGGGAAGCTTAGAAAATAGGAAAATGTGCATCACACCAAGTAAAAATAGCCAGATACAGTATGGGAGGATTAGGTAATGCTTTTGCAGTGTTTTTTTTTTTTGTTTTTTTTTTTTTTTGTTTTTTGTTTTTTGTTTTTTTTTTTTAAGCCATTTTTAAGTGGTTGAAGGCACATGAAGGAACCTGGCTGAAGGTTTTACTTTGCCGGTTTTGTGCAGCCCGGTCCTTCACCACTCCCTTGCTTCTCCTCTCTTCACTCTGAAATTGAACTAGCCGTCTTGACTGAGCGCTCTTTCGAGCTAACAAGACATTAACTCGTTTCAAAAGACAGTCTTCTAGGGCAACATGTAACTTTGTGCGGCTGATCCTTCAGCCTGCCCTTTATCTAACCTGGGGAAAGATGTGCCACTGTCAAGGGCGGCCATTCATGCTCCTGGAATTTAAATTCTCCTGACCTACTTTCCTTGTGACTTTGCATAGCTGCAGATTTTGTTTGTTCTTTTTGTTTTTTTTAAGGCAGCAGCGTCCTTACTCTCCTCAGGGTTGTGATAGACCACAACCCTTCAGACGTCCCCAGCTGTACACCCCACGTTTTAAAATTGGCTTTGAGATGCAGCTTTGAGTGACTGTGTGTTCATTTTATTGTCATCGGGATGTTATTGTGGTGACTTTCATCACTGACGGGATTAATGATATGTTTTTCTTTCAAAGCAGCTTGCATCTCTAATCTTCCTGTGCCTTCTTTCTGTACCCTTCTCTCCATTCTTTAGGACTTGGCACAATATGTGAATGAAGTGAAAAGAGATAATGAGACCCTTCGTGAAATTAAGCAGTTTCAGCTATCTATAGAAAATTTGGTATGTAATTATCCTCCTATCCAGCTTCCCCTCATCCCCAAATCACGGGACGTTCTGAGAACTGTTGTTGAGGAAAAGATAGTATACCTTCAACTTTCAGCTGTTGGAAGTTGTTTTTCTCCCTCCTATTTCTCTTTGGCCTTTACACTCATGTGATGTCATCTGTGACTTTGTTTTTGTCCAGATGCCTCTCTTGCTTGCCTCTTTCCCTCAGGCGCTTTCTGCCCCTTCTCCCAACAGTCCCAGAGGACAATAAAGAGAGTCCCAATGTAGGTAACATGGCTAGAAAAAAGTCCTTTCAAGTCGCTTGTCATTTTAACTGGGACACAGTTTAACTGGGACAAAATCCTCAAAGAATGAGAAGCCTGGAGATCTATCTGGTTAGTGATCCAGATGATACCTTCACAAGTGAAAAGTCCAGAGATGGGGAAGCAGCACTTTACGTGTGTTGAGAGAGCTGAGAGGCAAGGCTTGCTAGAAGTGGTGAGAACAGAAGGGGCTGATGGGCTCTTAGGTCTCAGGGGATGGGCAACTGCATCGCATAACCTTCTAGGCTGAGGATAGGTTAGGGCTTCATTGCCCCTGCCATGGAAACAGGGCAGCTTCTACCTGTGAGTGTTCCAGGCTTGTTAATATCTTTAATTCAAGGAGTCCCAACAGGGAGACAGCCAGGTAGCTATTGAAATGGTTTCTAGAGAGAATGAGTGGAGGACGGGATTTGCCAGTGGGAAGCGTACAGAGAGAATGGCTCTGAGACATTGTTGGCAAGGTGATTTCACCGCTGTGCTCTGAGTCCTGCTGAACATGTACAGCCACCTCCCCACTTCATGGTGCTGTCACCTGCTTTCCTGCAACCCCAAATGATCTCTTTGTGTTTCAAAACCGTGGTTTTCCAAGTCACCTTTCTTCCCAAACTTGCCAAGACTTTTCCGATGTCTTTAACGTTCATCTATTTAAAAGTACTTAGGGATCTGCACTTAAACAATTTTCTGAGCTCATCCAGTGAAAGACTACTCACATATTTTATACCATGGGTGTTATGCCATGTTTTTTTGTAAGTCTCTAGTTTTCTATCTCTTTTTGTGGTTGAAGATATTCTACTAAGAGCCCAGAGTTTTTCTCCATTATGGTCTATCATATTCCTTCAAGATCCAACCTAAAGGGAATCCCACTCCCTAACCTCCCATCATCCTTTGTCTTCTAGAATTTCCTTAACAGCTATATAGCACTGACAGTGTCATAATATCAGCGGTATTAAATTGACCCCCATACAAATGTATGTGTGCATATGATATTAAGTATATTTACAGTCTTGTATTCCCATTGCCTCCATCCAGCTCCAGAACTCTTCTCATCCTGTGAAACCGTGTTGACTGAGCACAGACTCCCCACTCTGTTCTCTCCGCAATCGCTGGCACCAAATATTTTCTGCCTGTGAATTCAGCACCTTGGATGCCTCTGATGTATAGAACCATATAGTCTTGGTGCTCTTGTGACCATTTTAGTTTATTCAGCCTCCTGCCATGGCATCCATCCATGTGGCAGAATGTGGTTTTTGCCTACTTAAGGATATCTGTATCACTGTCTGTGCATATCTCACACTGTGTCTTTTTACGCAGAGAACATTTGTTTGCTTCCCCCTTGAAGTATCATAGGCAATGCTGCTGCATATGGGTGTGCCAGTGTCCGTCCGAGTGCCCACTTTCATTTCTGTGGGTTATATCGCGGGATTCCTGAGCTGTGTGGTAGTTCTGGGGATTTAAGTTTTGAATACTTTCCAGTCCATTCTCGACAGCATGCTTGCCCCGGTTTGCACCCTTACTAGCGATATAAACGGATTCCAGGTTCTTCATGAACTTGGCAAATTTTCAGGTCTCTTTAAAAAAAATATATATTTTCTTTTCTAAGCGCATGTGCAAAACGTATATCTAAATGGGTGTGAAATAGTGTCTGATTGTGGCTTTCATTGAATTTTCCTAATGATTCATAGTGTTGTATATTGCTTTGTGTGTTCACTGCATGTGTCTGGTTTCGAGAAATGTCCATTTAAATACCTTGGCTAATGTTGAGTCCTGATGCGGTGTGGGGTGTGGGCGCATGAACACTCACATTTGCGTGTTTGTAGGACGTATTTACACATATGTATCCCCATCAGTTCCTTGTCACATGGGTGTTTATGGAGACTTTCTCCTGCAGGTAGCATGGGTGATGCCGTGAGCTCTAGCTTACCCACCTTTTCTTTCTTGCTTACACTTTTAATGTCACATCTAAGAACTCATTGCTAAATTTAATTCTGTAAAAAGCTTTTTCTCTCTTTTCTTGTAAAGCCTTAATAGTGTCAGCTCTTATACGTAGATCTTTGCTCTAGGTAGTTATTTTTAGCTAGAGTATGAAGCTAAGGTCCGACTTTATTCTTTTTCTTGTAGCTGTATAGTTTCCCCAGCACCATTTCTACAAGAACTTTGCTTTCCCCATTGAGTGTTCTTGGTACTTTTGGAAACGATTGTGGTTAATATGTGAGTCTTATTTCTGGGATTGCTACTATTCCAGGTCTATTGATCTGTTGGTCTTTATGCCAATAGCATACTATTTTAACTATTCTAGCTTTTTAATAAGTTTTGGAGTCAGGGAGTATGAAATATCCACATTTCTTGTTTTTCAGAGCTCATTTAGTTATCCAATTGTCCCTTGAGATTCTTATGTGAATTTAAAGATGAAGTTTTTATTCTGTTCCTGGAAGAGAATAACAACAGCAAACACTTATTATTTTATCATTTTCTTGAGATCACATTTATATCTTTTATTAGAATGAAGTCAGTAGGTGTCATTGATAATCTATGGTCCATTCTTTTTCCCTAACAAGTACTGTAAGTATCCAGTAATAGTTTAAAAATATTTTGCATTCCTGTCTTTGTGAAAATATATAATTTAATTGTTACAACAGAAAATTTCATCCTGGAGCATTTAACTCAAGGAGGCCATCCCTGAATTTCTGGCTCAAATTATCTCTCCTTTCTATACTTTGCAACCTGGACAATTATTTGTCTGCAGTTACATGCTTCTGTGAACATTCATGTTCTTGTGCATGGTGTGTTCTATGAAGACAGAGACTGCAGGCATTTTACCCTGCATGTGTGATGTTACAGAATGTTAGTTACAGATGTTAGTTACAGAATTTTCTTGTGGTTAATATAATTTCAGTTATTTCTCTCTTGGTATCTAACTTCCCTTTTTAAATAATAGTTTTAGTTTCGAGATTAAAATGTAATTACATTTGCTTTGCTTTATTCCCTCCAAACCCTTTTAAATCACTGCACCTCTCGTTTTCTTTCAAATTCTTGGTTTCTTTTTCTTTAATTGTTATATAAATACAACCCACTCAGTCTTTTTTTAAATTTAATTTATTTATATATTTTTTCTTTTTAAAATTTATATTAATTACAGTTTATTCACTTTGTATCCCAGCTGTACCCCCGCTACCTTATTTCCTCCCAATCCCACCCTCCTTCCCTCATCTCCTCCCATCCCCTTCTCTAAGTCGACTGATAAGGGAGGTCCTCTTTCCCTTCTATCTGACCCTAGCCTATAAGGTCTCATTAGGCTGTATTGTCTTCCTCTGTGGCCTGGTAAGGCTGCTCTCCAATTAGGGGTTGGTGATCAGAGAGCCAGCCATTGAGTTCATGTCAGAGACAGTCCCTGTTCTCCTTAGTAGGGAACCCACTTGGATACTGAGCTGCCATGGGCTACATCTGAGCAGGGTTCTAGCTTATAGCCATGCATGGTCCTTGGTTGGAGTATCAATCTCAGAAAAGACCCCTGGACCCCAGTATTTTGGTTCTGTTGCTCTCCTTGTGGAGCTACTGTTCCTTCCAAGTCTTACTATCTCCCCTTTCTTTCATAAGATTCTCTGCACTCTGCCCAAAGTTTGGCTATGAGTCTCAGCCTCTGCTTTGATACCCTGCTGGTTAGAGTCTTTCAGAGGCCCTCTGTGGTAGGCTCCTGTCCTGTTTCCTGTTTTCTCTTTCTTCTGATGTCTGTCCAATTTGCCTTTCTGAATGAGGATTGATCATCTTACCCAGGGTCTTCCTTCTTGCTTAGCTTCTTTAGGTGTACAGATGTTAGTATGTTTATCCTATATTTTAAGTCTAATATTCATTTATAAGTGAGTATATACCATGTGTGTCTTTCTGTTTCTGGGATATCTCACTCAGGATGATCTTTTCTAGATCCCACCATTTGCCTGCAAATTTCATGATTTTCTTGTTTTTAATTGCTGAGTAGTATCCCATTGTGTAAATTACAATAATTTCTGTATCCATTCCTTCATTGAGGGGCATCTGGGTTGTTTCCAGGTTCTGGCTCTTACGAATAAAGCTGCTATGAACATGGTTGAGCAAATGCTCAGTCTTTATAATGTTACACACACACATATATATATGGATGGATATATCCAATATATATAAATAAATAAATATAAATATATATCCAATACCGTTTGGTATTGGATAACCAATTAGTGTGCTAATAACCTGAGGAGGACTATTTTTCCTACTCTCAGCATTTTTTTTAATTTAATTTAAATTTTTATTTTATTTTTGTTTTATGTTTATTATTATTATTATTATTATTATTTACAATTTACTCACTTTGTATTCCAATTGTAGCCTTCTCCCTCATCTCTTCCTGATCTCACCCACCCTCTCCCTTTCTTCCCTATCCCTCTTCCCTAGTGCACTCACTGATAGGGAAACTCCTCCTCCCCTACGGTCTGACCCTAGCCTATCAGGTCCATAAGGACTGCTTGGATCCTCTTCCTTTGCTGGCTGGCTAGGTTGCCCTAATAGGGAGAAGTGATCAAGGAACAGTCAACAGAGTTCATGTCAGAGACTAACTCTTCTCCCTTAGTAGGTAACCCACATGGAGACTGAGCTTTTTATGGGCTACATCTGAGCAGGGGGTCTAGGTCCTTTCTATGTATGGTCTTTGGTTCAGTCTCTGCAGTCCCTCTGAGCCCAGCTTTTTTTTGGCTTTGTTGGTCTCCTCATGTGGCTCCTGCCCTCACAGGGTCCTTCTATATCTTCCCCCTTTCCATCTTAATTACACATAGTTTTTTCCCCCTCTAGGCTTGAGGCCTTGTAGGCTTCCTGCTTTCACATTAGCAGGTCTGATTGCCTTTATTCAACTCATGTTTAGGAGGCCATGCTGGTGAAACTTCATCGGGGTAGCTTCTCTGCTATTTTAGGAGATATAATTTCACAGAAAACATACTGTTCTTACTTTCATAATCTTCCTGTCTCTTCTGCAATGGTTCCTGAGCCCAAGGGGCAGGGGTTGTGTTGTACATATATCAGTGAGGGCTGAGAACTACATTTATCTCTGAGTCTAAGCACAACTCCTTAGAGGGTAATTAGGGATTTTGCTCGTTTAGTAAAGTAGGGGTGGTAGGTTCTCTTCCAAGATCCACGAATTAATTAACCCTGGGTGGCTGCATCGGTTTCCGGTCTCAGGCATGATTCTTGGTCTCAGGCATGATTCTTTTATTGTTGAGTGGGCCCTAAGTCCAATTAGAGAGCTGTTGGTTACTGCCAAGTTATGTGTGCCGCCACTGTATCCCCGTGGTTACTGTGGCACGTTGGTCATGGGTGTGGTTCAAGGGCATCATACTTAGCAGGACTATCCTTTGCCTTCTTCTGTTGGAAGCTTGAACAGTGCCTTGTGGTACCGCGACAGCTAGTCCTCAGGAGGACCAGGCTTCCCGGTCAGATCCAGCCCTGGTAACATTCTCTTTAAGATTATATATACGTAAAAGAGGTGGTCACAACGTGCCCACTGTAATTACAAGGGACAGATTGGTTTTCGAAGCATATCTCGTATCAAAGTCCCATGTGTTTTAGAGCAAATGCGTTAAAATAACTAGAAGTGATATCAATTGTAATGTAATAGGGTAGTTGTCCTAGAAAATATCTTTACTGATGTTCACTTCTAGTTTCATGTAATTGTGAAAAGGTCAGGCACACATTTCAGATTTATGTATTTATGAATGTATTTGTGTTTTAGAACCAGCCAGTCTTGCTCTTTGGACGACCTCAGGGAGATGGTGAAATCCGAATAACCACACTGGACAAGCATACGAAGCAGGAAAGGTGAGAAGGGAGCCTGTGGTGCACTCTCAACAGGACCAGCGGCTGCCACAGGAAGGATGGATGGGGTGGCCGCGGGCAGGCAAGGGGACAGGCCAGTCAGTGGACACTTGCATTTCCTAATGAATGCTTTATGGATCACCTCACTTTCTAGTCCTTGCTCTATTGATTTGCTAAGTTTTTAGGGGTTTACACGGAAACCTTAGAAAAATAAAACAGGTGAAAATATGTATTTCCGTTATGGAATGCCACCAGACAATTTCTGCAAAACCACGACTGCCTTTTTAAAAAAGGACTTATTTTAAAATGAACTGAAAATAATGAAAAGCATCCTAAAGAGGAAGGCCGAATGGGGAATATTTCGTAATACTTTTATTTAGGGAGATTTTTAGGCAGAGTCCTTGAATGTCCTTAGTGCCACTGGCCTTTACTCCTCCACTGTGACAGATTGCCAAACTGTTTTGGTGGTGGTTTCCTGGAATCTTTGCAGAGGAGACTGTCTGGCAGCAGGGGGCAGCATTGGCTCTTGCTTCCTCCTTGAAACCCTGCCTTTGATGATGAGGGAAGTGTTAGAGCACCTGGATTGTGTCATTGTCACAATCATTGGTTAAGAATATGCTTGTTAATCACTGAGAGTTTTAAAAAGCACACATGTATTGCGGTTAGATGATAAGGTTAGAAGGTTCATTTCCTTCCCCAATTAGCATTGCTTTTAATAAGAAAAAAAAAATTAACACAGAAACTTAACCATCACTTTTCTGGTTTGCAGTTTTCTCTTACACCCAAGCTGCACTTAAGGTGACCCGATAAAGTGTGTCACTCAACATAAGGAGTGAAGGCACAGGTTCTAAAGTTAGCCTGGGTGTGATCTCACTCTGCACCAGATCATCAGTGTGACCTTTGGCAATTTACACACATCCCCCAGCGTGGTTTTGCTCACCCAGGATGAAAGTAATTTCCACCTGGATGGGGACCCTCGGAATTTATTTTATATCCCGTTTGTGAAAGGAATGAACAGTTCTCGGGCTTTTGATTGATTGCTATTAAGGTTGTAGAAGATCTACTGTCCTGGTCATGAATATTTTTCTGAGTTTTTAGTGTTTCAATAAAAAAGAGAGCAATTATTCATGAGTAGCTTTATAGCCTATCTCAATGAGTATTTTCAACAACTCTAAAGTGTATGTATTGCTTTTCTTATGATTCCCCCTTTCTTTTTGTTAAAAGGAGGTCAACGGGGGTGGGGTGACACCGTTTCTCCTCTGGGGTGGTGAAGGAGAGCGATGCTCCTGTGGGCCTGCATGCTTCCTTGCTTCCGGTGTGCAACCCTGCCTTGTTGTCCTTAATTCGAAGGAAGAATGCTTGGTTGGCACGGTCACGTCCTGCCAGTGAAAAATATATGTGCTTCTAAGCCAGTTGCTGTCAGTCAACCACACTGTCTCTCTTTCACAGGCATATCTTCTTATTCGATTTGGCAGTGATTGTTTGTAAAAGGAAAGGTGATAACTATGAGATGAAGGAAATAATAGATCTCCAGCAGTACAAGATAGCCAACAATCCTACCACTGATAAAGAAAATAAAAAGGTGACTTCTGGGGATGTTACTAACAGTAATTTATGCAGAGCTTTGAATATTCAAATGCAGTCATCCCTTGGTGTCTAGACCCCTCCCTCCACTGCAGATACCTAAATCTGCAAATATTCAGGTGCCTTTATACGAAATGGCTTGGTGTTTGCATATAACCAAGCATGTCTTTCTACACAATTTAAAACATCTGTAGGTTCTTTGTACTACCTAAGACAATATTTAAATTCCTGTAAGCAGCTGTTACACCACAGTGTTTAGCTCTAATGACAAGGGGAAAAAGTCTGTACATCTGTTTAGTACAGATGCAATTAATATTTGTTTTCATCTGCAGTTGCTGGGTATTTGAATACGGAACCTGCAAATCTGGAGTCAGGTGTATATCAGTGTGAGATGCAGTTAACAATAGAATCAGGCATTTAGTTTTCAGAAATTGATTTGGTAGAGTCTCCTGTGGGCTCTGATTGGGTCGTGGCAGAGTTGATCTGACCATTTCTAATTTCGAAGATCAGTATATGTGTAACAGTGATTTTTCTCATCAATATGATGTTTACAATCATCGGTATTGACACTGATAGAGTTTTAAGGTTTCTTGTGGATGGTTGTGATGGTGTTCCAGTGAATTTGAGGTATGTTTTAAACAAAGGATAATTATTAACTTGAAGAATATTCATTTTTTACAGTGGTCTTATGGCTTCTACCTCATCCATACCCAAGGACAAAATGGGTTAGAATTTTATTGCAAAACAAAAGATTTAAAGAAAAAATGGCTGGAACAGTTTGAAATGGCTTTGTGAGTATTTCTACTTTTAAATTTTATTTGTGTTTGTGGTGTGCACTTACACAAATGTGTGTGTGTATGTGTGTGTGTGTGTGTGTGTAGGCCAGAGGTGACATCAGTCTCTGAGTTGGACCCAGAACTCACTGACTTGGCTAGACCAGCTAACTACCATGCTACTGGAATCCCCTCTTGCTGCTTCCCAAGCTCTTGAGATTAAAGGCTGGTTGCCACCTCTGTCCAGCTTTTTTTTTCTGTATTGAGGATTCACACTTGGGCAGTTATGCCTGGCTGGCAAGTGCTTTCCTTAGTGAGCCATCTCCCCAGCCTACATTTCTACTTTTAAGAATTCTTTGTGTCTCTATTTAAGCCACTGGTGAGTCACAGCAGCTGTTCTCCACTAATGGCTGGTAGCATGCATGCAGAGGCTCTGAGCAGGGACACAAGGGCAGACTGTGGGCTGCTCATCTGGTCTCGGCTTGCTGGTGAATTTCTTCAAAAAGAAGAAAGAGGGAGCTCAAACCTTCCCTTTGACATTCTTTGCCAAGGAATATTTTCAGACTTTACCTTTTAGCTGCTCAAGAAATTTAATTATAAGAACAAAATTTTCCTGTAATTACTTTGTTTTAATATATATCCTTAAATTACACGGTTTTATTTATAAAATAAATAAATCATAAAAATTTTTATTCATAAAAATCCCACATAAATGCACATGTGTTCACATCCTTTCCTTCTCATGTAAACACTGGTGTCTTCCCTTGATTTCAAACTCACTTATTGTTTGAATCCTTGCTGAGTTTCAGGTATGCTTTGGGGCTGAATTTGTTAAATGTCCCTTCCCTTTATTAAAGAAGAAGCTCAACAAAGAGGTGAAAATGCACAGACCTGGCTCAAAAGAAATGGCACACTGAGTTGTGACTGAGAACACACTGTGAGGTGCTTTTTTGTAGTTTTGATGTTTATAAATTAAGAAGGTACATTATGACCCTTATTGTAGAGACACATTGGTCACCCTGAAATGAAACTGTTAACAAAGGGTGGAATTAAAAGAAAAACACTTCAGAGATTTGTCTCATTGTGTTCTGGTCTTGTTTACCACTCCTTCACCTATTCTATCAAGTTTTCACTGCTTGTTCTGATTTTTAAAGAAAGGCTTGTGTTAATGCAAACTTGAGGTGTGATTAGGTTGGGTTTACATATTTTATTTTTTTACTGTGTGTGTGTCCATGTGTATGCCCCATGTGCATACATGCACTGCACAGCCTATCTGTGGAAGTAAGGGAGTCACTTTCAGGAACGGATTTTTGTCCTTCTACCACAAGGGCTCTGGGGATGGAACACAGGTCACCAACTTTGGCAGGAAAAACATACTTGCTGAGCCATCTGGCTGGCTCAAGACTCTCTTAGATTTTGAAAGATGGGATTGTATAGATTTTTTTTTTTTAAATTAAGCTTAAACCAAGTCTGGGTTCTGCTGTCATCACAGCTGTAGCTGCCTACAGCCTTCGCTAAATCATTCATCCTCTGAAAACCTCAGTGCCTGCATCTGTAAAATAGGGATACTGATGTTTAGTTTGAATTGCAAATACTGTCTCAGGGAAATGGCAGCCAGATGCTGCAATGTAAGCTGTATGGTATGTATTGATCAGAAGGTGATATCTGTTGCTACTGCTGCTAGCAGTAGCATTTTATATTTAAGGTCCTAATATGCTGAGAGCACAAAGTTAACGCTTTCTGACATAGTAGTAGAGTACTTATGCTTGGTCATTGACTACAATAGTCAAGCATAAAAGGTCAGTAGTATTAAAGGTTGCATTGTCATGGCCTCTACGGTACAGGTTGCATTTATTTTGGGCACAGGTGTTAAGTGGATGATGTTGGTCCAGTTTGTGGTCCAGAATGCAAGCTCACATACCTTGTGCTCCTTCAGTGAGACACCTAAAAATGTGTGGTTGATATCAGAACCGTAAGATGCTGGGGGTAGTGAGTGTATCCAGAGGCAGGATGGATCTCAAACTTTTGGTCTTGTGGGGAGATGTAAGACTAGAATTTTCTGATCTTTTCTTTGAGGCATAGAATCTTCCTCTGAGTGAAGGAGTTTCTCCAGGGGAGGGCAGCTAAGTGTCTTGTCTCAGAGGAGGCAGGCTCTTAGGCTTGCATGATAGACATATCAGTGACATTTGATCCAGTATTCTTAAGCCAAATAGCTCATCCTTAATACAAGATAGGTGATAAACTGAATGCTTACTCCCTCTCATGTAAAGGGGAATCTGCAGTAGGCGGAAGCTGTGTGATAGGGTGGCTCTTTGATATCACCGCTCTTTCAGGCTCATGTTCTCTTCTGCTGTCTTCAGCATTTGGCTTCTGTCTTCCTTGGTGGTCACTTTAAAGTGTAAAATAGCTACTGGAATTCCAGCTGTAAAGTCTATCTAGTAGGTGGCAGAAGGTAATCCCTCACTTTTGATGAACCTTTCACAACATGTTGTTTTTCTTAAATCGAGACAGAGGCAGAACTTGGTCATATGACCATACGTGACAAGCAAGGTTGAGATTATCATACCTGATTCATGGGGGTTTGTGTCTGGTTTTGAATCAAGGTGGCTGTGAAAGAAGGGAGGGAAGTAGCGTTTTAGATATAGTCAGCAGGGCACGCAGGGTATAGATAGACTTGAATTGCTCCTCTGTGCACACAGTGGCTTCTGTGCTTCAGGGAACCAGGCATTCTACGTGTCTGAATTATTTTGACGTACCTCACTAATATAATGAAGCATGAGTGGGCGTCACGTCTGTATTATGGAGTTCTGCTGGCAGCTTATGTGGTGCGGTAGAAGGCGGAAAAGCTTTTCTGTAGAATTACTCAGAGTTTAACCTGAGGAGGTCTGAAAGCAAAAGTTAAAACGTGTGAGGCAAAATAAAACCAGGATTTCATTAAGGTATCAGGCTTATCTTAACTTATTATCTTAACTTCCTCCCTTCCTTTTGAAGCTAGCTATCCCAGGAAGCTCTGGTAACCATGCTGCCAGCTTCCTAAGACAGGTCTTACCTCGCTCTTTATGAAGTAGAGTAATCTGGGTAAATCCTGATGCTTAAGATTTTGCCCTAGGGTCAGATTTATTCCGTTTTGTCCATTATCTCCAATCATTGGGCTTTTCTAAGTCATGGAGAACAACGAAGACCAAGAACCATGCGGTGTTTTAACAATGAAGAGGGTGCAGCCATATGTTTGAACCTCTGCGGGTCAGCTCTGCCCAGTGTCCTTAGCCTCAGCTTTGAGTCTTTTCTTTCTGGAACTCTATGGATTATGACTTAGAGGAACATTAAGGAGGATGATGGTGGCTGAACAGTGGAATTGATCTGATGAAATGTTTTCTAGTTGGTATTTACAGAAGATGACAGTCCTGCTTATAGGATGATCAGGCTGTTTTTTTTGTTTAGAATAATTGCGGACACCTCTAAGACAATTAAATTCTGCTGTCTGTTTGGTACACTAGGGGAAATGGCAGAGAATGCATGCACGCGTGTAAACAGCAATGAACTGTGCACGAGTCATCTCTTGGGGCGACCTAGATCTCAGCCTTTGTCTTTCCCAAGCACACCCCAATCCTTGCTCGGCAGCGTGTCCTCTGACATTTTTTTTGGCCGCAACCACATCTAGTATTTAGAATCTGCAGTGAACCACGTCAGGATTTGGCAGCCTCCTTAGAAAAAAGCTGAATGGAGAGAGACAGCAGTGACACACTTGGATGGGGAAGGAGAAAGGAGTTTTCTCTCTTTTCCCAACTAAAAGTTGTATAGTACTGGTTGTTGTTGAGGTTGGAGAAGAGATCATGGAGCTAAATGATGCTTAAGAGCTGAAGTGCTGGGGGCCTTCTTTAAGTATCCATGTTTATGCTTAAGTGGGTGTTTGTTGTGAGGTATTGCTTGCTTTTGTTTATTCCAGAAATGATTTTTGTTGCCAATTGTCTTCCATGATTCCATTTAGTCATCTGAGAAATAGGATGACAAGTGTTTGTATTCAGTTAAGCTGGCTTTTGTGTAGATGCGAGTACCTATTTTTTTTTTTTTTTAAAGAGACTATCACTGTTTTCTCAATTCCCTTGTGCTTCCTGGGTTTTTGTGGATTCTCTGATTAGCTTTAAATGAGTAAACATTCCACACATTTTCCAGCTTAGGAAACCAGTGATCACAGGATCATGTCAGCGATGTTGAACACTGTTGGGACTTTGCCATTGCAACGCGTTTGTTATCTCAGTGTACAGGAATGTCTTTACTATGAGGGTATGAAGTATCCACTTGCATTCAGATCTTGTTATCGAAAATGGACATTTTAAAATTTCATTATTTTGCTTGTTTTTACTGTGACTAATACACAGGGATCATTCATATATATATATATATATATATATATATATATGTACATATATCTTATATAGCTCAGGTTGACTTTAATCTCATTAATAGCCAATGTTGACCTTCAACTCCTGATTCTGTTACCTCCAACTTCCTAAGTGCTGGGATTGCAGATGTACAACTGTGTGCTACATGTCCAGTCTTAAAGGTTTTTAAAGGAAGATCTAGAAAGAACAAAGAAAAGATAAAATTGGAAGGGAACTAGATATAGTAGGAAAAGGTAGGTTCAGAATTGACCTCTGTAGCATTTATTAAAGAAAATGAAAAGATCTTGTTGCTTTGGGTTTCTCTTGACCAGCTCAACTCAAGTCTTGAAATTTTAGCAGTTCTCATTTACTTCCTTGAAGATACACAAGGCCCATTTATCACAGGCGCCATCTCAGTTTTCTTAACTGTCGGGCTGGCTGGCATAGTGCTGAGAGGCTTGCCTAAGGAAAAGAGCACAGAGGTCAGTCAGTCTCTGTTTAGACATTATTCGTTCAGTAACTAGCAGGACTGATGATCTTGGCAAGAAGAGACTGAGACTACAGATGGAGAGCATGGAGTTGGGGGAGGGCGTGGGGTACAGTACTTGTCTCACACTAGTCATCTGGACAGGTGGC